GTGTCCCCACCCCCCCATAAATCACCCTGTCCCATTCAGCGCTGTGACAAGCCCGGGCCCCTCAGAAGGGCAGGGAGCAGGGTCATGCGACTGAGATGGGGACAGGGAGGACTCATCGGGGAGCACAGATGGGGGCCCTTGGCACAGGGAGCCCCTTCCCATGAGTACCACTGGTTTGGGAACGTGCCCCCTTTCCTTGCACCCTGCCATTTAGGAGAGACGCCCCTGTGCAGGGCTCCGGTTGGCAGGAGTCCTCCGTCCCCCGCCTTCCTGCTCCCCGCAGGGGTGTCCCCACACCGCCCCGGGTGCACGGGGCACCCGTTGCGCTCGTTGCACGCGCGCTCTGCACACACGCCGGGGCGCACGGCGCAGCCCTGCGCAGAGACGCGGGCACCGCGGCTGCCGTCCGCGTCGCACGGGCGAAACAGCTCGTAGCAAACGCCAGCGATGCTACACCCAGACGCACGTACACCAGTGGACGCACACACGCACATGGTGTGTGCACAGACGTATGCCACGATACACCCCCAGAAACACCCTGGGAACCCTTGTGAGCTCCTGTTCACGCTCACATTCGCGTGTGGACGCATGCACACACCCCATGGGGCAGGAGCACCAATGTGCATTGCAACCCCCAGGAACTCCAGTTCACACACATGCATCAGGGACACATGCACACGTGCCCCCAGTGCACATGAGTGACTGCAGGACCGCACAGCCACAGCATCCACATGTGTCCCCAAGTGGTACCACCCCAACCACTGTGTCCCCACGTGCTTGAGGGTCCCCACATGACTGGAGGCATCTCCCTCCAGGCCAGCTCCCTGTCCCAGCCCCACGCTGGCCTGTCACCACCCCGCAGTGACACTGCCCTCCGCACTGCCCCACACGCCGTTGGCACCCGAGCTGCTGGCACAGTCTCATAGGCACGATGGAGCCAGCGGAGCGGCACACGCCAGCCTGCTCGTCTTGGTAGAGGTTAAGGAAACAAATGACGCCGCTGCAGTGGAACCAGCCAGGACACGAGGGCTGCGACCGTCCTGGAGCCGCTCTGCTCCCTGCCTCAGTGTCCCCAGTACAGGCACCAGAGGACGTGTCCCTGTGCCAGGCATAGACCGGGATCCCTGTGCCAAGCATAGACAGGGATCACAGCGCCAGGCGCTGCAGGGACACCACGATCCCCCCAGACC